CGGGCATCGGCCCTTCGGTCCGTTTGCTTAGAAGGCGTGCGGAACTTGCAAATGCCTCCACACAGCGCATTGACTTCTCCACACCGGTAGCTGCCTTCCTTCTTAATTCATTTGTTCTCCGTTTATCTACCTCGGAAAGCACTGGGCTTGAAGGATTCATTTGTCCCTTGGAGAGTTGGCCCGGGACAGGTGGCACACACAGCACTCCAGGTGCAGGAGGGAAGTGACTGGCCTGCTCCTGCTCCTCCCCTTCCCGAGGACGGGAGCTACTTTTTATTTTTGGTACCACGGATTCAACTCAGGACCTTGCACTTGCAAGGCAGGCAGCAGAACCGCTGAACTAAATTCCCGGGCCCAGGAAGCTACTTTTTACACTTGATCTTAGCCAAAAGGCCGAGAAGCGATAGGAAGCTACTTTTTATCAATCAGAGTTTATGTGCCTTTCCAGGCTGGTCTGCAGGTTCACTCTGTGCGTGTGTGTGTGTGCGCATGTGTCTGAGACACGTGGTGATGTGTTACATCCACACTGTTCCAGTCATTCTCAGCTGGAGACAGTTTCAACTCCTGGTGGCAGCTGGCAGCGTCTGGACATATTTTTGGTGGCCACAACTGGGGTGCCAGGGAAGGCACCCAGCAGGCTGAAGTACAGGACACCCTCACCCTAAAGAGTTACTGGATTATCGGCACCCAAATGTTAGCAGTGCTGGGGTCGAAGATATCTAGGTTCCTGTTTGTTTTTGTGCTTCCAAGTATTCCGACGACCAGTCCTCAGACAGGCCAGTCGCCGGTTTCCTTGGAGTGTGGGCAGAAGAAAGTTTGAGAGCGTCAGCCAGAGGAGCACAGCGCTCTTGCTGTGGGAGCAGGTGACACTTAGAAAGCTCACAGCTGGGCACTGCGACTGTCCCTGGTGGTTATGGAGCCCGGAGGGGGCTGGGAGGAAAGTGAGATGCGTGGTGGTCGTCATTCCTGGCCTCCCGTGTGGAGCTGCCCAGCTGCTCCATGGCGTGGACTGGAATCCAGCACCACACTGGCATTCTTTGGGTCCAAGAAAAAAACACAGGTTCCAAAGGAAATTAGCATTTCCGAAACAAACGCTGGAGAGATCAGCTGCGGAAGAGGCCCTGGTCCTTCACCTGTCCTCCGCTAAGGTGAGCTATTTAAGCAGCAGAAGGCTGGCCAGGGCTTTGCTTGCGAGGGCCGCTAGTGCCCTGGTAAAAGCCAGCACAAGGCACACACCTGAAGGGGTAGAAGGTGTTTCAACTCCACCACATCCCAGGAGAGGACGACAGGCTTTGTACCTGCGCTTTCAGGAAGTCATTCTGGGCTGGTATTTATTTTACACCAGAACAAAGCAAACCCCTCTGCAATATGCATGGCAAATGTGATCCCAGACATGACCTCCACATTCTGGCCTGGACACAGATATTACTTTTATAGACAAAAAACATAGATCTCTTTAATCAGCTTTAAAAAAACATAGTGAACAGTCACTTCTCTTATTTAAAAGTTTAACTTTACTTTCATCAATTTATAATCAGAGTTCCTCTGGTATGTTTGATTCCTGACAAACAAGGATTAAAGTCTGGTGCCCCCGTCGCTAATGAGATGATAAAACAGCAGGGGTCAAGTTTTTAATTACTACAGGCGATACACTGGAGAGGTACCCACGATATTTTCTATTGCATGTCTAAGTTGTAACTTCAGGCTCATGACAGTCCTGCTGAGTTCTGCAGCCTTTGATGATCACTCATTTTTGTCTCCTGAGAACATACAAAAATTTCTGAGCTAGAATCCTGGGGGGCTGGCAATTATTGGCATAACCTGGCTCAGGTTCACCTCTGCAGCCAAGGTGGCTCAGTGCGGATCCAGTTTCCTGCTGCCCATCACTCCAGTGAGAGGGAAACTGGACGTTCAAAACACCTATGCACTCTCGAGCTCCGATGCGACCCATTCTTACACCGCCAGCATGGGCACTCCATGAATAAATAATATAGCACTTATGGAACTGGGTGATTTCTAGTATACACTTTTCCATTTCTTTTCAAAGTCAGGCTTGAAATTTTTTGACAAACCATATTTTTATACACAGACCCAGACATAGATTATACATTTCACTCTAAATTTTTTTTAAACATGTTTCCTGCACTATTCCCTTTGTTACAGCCGACTGCTGATCATTGGAATTTTTCCACAGGCGCCATCTTGATTCTTGCTCTTACCTTGCTTGGACTGTGAGCCAGGGGTGGACTCCAGGAACTTTCACACACACACACACACTGGATGGCCGGACCACTCAACAAATATGGTTTGGTCCAAAACTTGTTTTAAACTATGAATACTGGAACCCAGAATCAATGTCATCTGTGGCCAAATCACCAGGCCTATCTTAATCCACTTTCTCAACTTGTTGGCTGACCAACCACAGCTGTTGAACCCTCAAGTTACTCCTCAGTTTTAAAGTAAGAATTGAATGTTGGAAGAGCAAGCATTGATTGAGTCTACCAAGTGGTCAGACCCTGACGGCTTCCACACTGGGACAAGTTCACAAATGAAAAAAGATCAACAAACAGCAAAGGTAAACAGACACTTTATTGCCCAAACCCTTTGCAGAATCCAAATTTACAGTGTTCGTTAGGAATCTCTTTTGTCAGTATAACGCTTACACTAAATCACATGTTTTTTGTTTGTTTGTTTGTTTGTTTTTTGGTACTGGGGATCGAACTCGGGTCCTTGTGCTTGCGCAGCAGGCAGCGAAACCACTAAGCTAAATCCCCGGCCTAAATCACATGTTGAAGTATGAAGGCAAGACACTTACAGCACGGGTCTTTCTTGACAAAGAGAAATGAAACATGTTTTGGTTCTGTGATTTGTATCTGGAGAACTGGTGTTGCTCCTATGTGTGAAGCGGGACCAGCTGCTGTACAGGTGCTCCTGACACCTGGCTGCCCGTGGGTGGTGTGTTTCTGACTCATGAACACAGGTGGCATGGGCTGTGGGGTGATGTCCCCGGCAGCTGTCCTGGCCACTGGCCCCTTGAACCCCAGTCCCTTCTGTTCGGATGCAGATGATTCCAGTGGCTTCCACACCATTCTGGCTGCCAGGCACAGCCCACTGGGAAGCCCAGCGGGGGCCTGACTGACCTCACCTGGAAGGGCTGTCACTTTGCCCCAGTCCCTGGCAAAAGTGGTGACCAGACACCATAGGGTAGTGGAGCCAGGAGGAAAGGGAATCAACTTGATAAACACCTCAGGTGATTTTCTGCTCCTGTAACCACAGCGGAGGCTCATTCCCACGAAGGAGGCTTTACTGTTCCTGAGTTTTTATTGATAACTTATTCCCTCCTCAGAGTCTTGGAAATTAGAGAAAGATTGTTATTATTTACAGATAGGACAACTGAGGCTAAGAAATATTATCCTGCTGGGGGTCAAATAGCTACCAAGAGCTAGAAGCCAGTGCTATTGTCTTGTTTCTCCTCTTTGGTTTCTATACGACACGTCTACCTTGACTGACAAAGTCAACTGCCCTTTGCAGATGGTTGTTGGAAGATAATTTATGCTGCACATAAACAATATCAAAAGGCATCTGATCTTCCACATAAGGTAAATGGACATGGAATTGATCACAAAATGCTAGACTCTAAGCTACAGAGAGCATTTTGGTTTTAATGATCACTCATGGGCATAATTTGAAGTCTTTAAAAGATTTGGCAACATGCACACAGGGAGAATAAGCAACCCCAGCTATGGACGTGCTGGGCCCTGGGATTTGCTCATAGAGCTCAGACTGCCAGGAGTGTGTTGCTCTTAATCAGAGCACAGCTGACACTGCCCTAACTCTAACGACAATGGTACAGTCAAAACTACATTCCCCTCTAGAGGTCAGGAGGACCAGAGAAAAAGGGATCAACACTTAAAGCAATTCAGAGTCTGATATGATTGTCAGAATATATTTGTGCAGATGAACAGTATAGTAGAGATGGGAAAGAACTCTTTTGTGAAAATCTTTTTCCTCCCAGTACACGTAGACCAGAGCCCCTTTGATCGGTCAGATTTCTCGACCATGAGGACCTCTTATGGAAATCGCCAACCAGAAGGCTGAGCCCTGGGACAGGTGGGCAGTGCCTTCCCCTGGGGACACAGAAGTCACGGGTGCTGGCTGCCTGACCCCTACGGGACTTAGGCCTCATGTTCAGGAGCCTGGACCCTTATCCCTTAGCAGCAGTCTTGTTCTCTGTGGCTTTTGTGACTTCAGAGTATCTCATTGTCTGAAAACGTTAAAGGGAAAATGTTCTGAGTAATGTGATAAAATCTCTCTTCATCCTGCTCTGTCCCAACCGGGATGTGAACGAACTGTCCCCTTGCCCAGTGGACCCACGGGGTCCACATGCCGCCTGTGAGTCACTGGGTAACTGCCTCGTGGCCCCTGATGGCACTGCAGCACTGTGTGCAGACAGGCCTCACGTGGGAACCTGGCACTGCTAGGGACAACGCCTGAGTCCCCCCTCCCGTCCACCACAAAGCAACGTCACCTCTCAGCATCCCAGGAGGCAGGCGAGCACAGAGCAGGAGGAGTCGTGGGAGAGGGACAGAGCTGTGGCTGCCCACGGGCCGTGCATGGTCGTAATGGTCTCGTTCTCTTGGTTTCTGGTGTTGACCTCCCGCGGTGCCAGGCTGTAAATGAAGCTGGACCTCAGGGTCACGAGAATGGGGATCACGGAGGGTGTAGGGTTGGCTCGCTCTGCGGCCTCGGAACACGTCACGCGGGACCCAGCGCACAGCTGTACATTATACCCTGAATCCAGACCCCAAGTGCAGGTAAGAGTTGTCTCTTCCCCTTCCTTTTCATCAGAGACCCACGGGCAGGAGGTGCCGGGTACAGCCTCGATTAAAGAACACCACTGACTCTGAACCTGGCCTTGAGATTCTTGAAATTTACAGTGTAATTTGCCATTTCTGTTGTTCTTCCTTTAAGCAATAAGCTTTATTTTTAGAGCATATTTGTGTTCAGTACAAAATGAAGCAGAAAGTAGAGCTTGTGGGACATAGCCCTGTCCCCACGCATCACGCTGCTCCACTGTGAGGTCCCCACCGATGGACGCGTGACCACACAGGGCCCCAGTGCACAGCAGGGTGCTCCGGGCATCCCGTGGGTGTGGACCAGGCCTTGCACGCAGCAGCGCTGCAGTGCCCCGGAGTAGCGCCCGAGCCCCCCGCTCAGCCCTTGGGCCCCACCCAGCTTTTCCTTCGCCCCAGCTTCCAGCTCCCCGGAGAGTCCTGAGCTGGAATCCTGCAGTGCAGTCTCTTGGGGCCCTTGGTTTCTCTGACTGCCTGCTGCACACACGAGCTTCTCCGATGCCTGCCCCTGGCTTTAGAGCTGGCTTCTCTCAGCCTGGTAACACGGATTGTCTGGATGCCCTCGGAGCAGAGAGCCTCTCATCTCCCAACAGACACCATGTCCGCTTTTAAGTCGTCTCAGATAAAGCTGCCACGAACATGTGGGCATGGGTGTTTATGTGGACAGAAGTTTTCAAATCCTGTGGGTAAAGGCCTGGGAGCGTGACTATTGAACTGCAGGGAAAGAGTCTATTAGCTCTGTAAGATCCCTCCGGATGTCTTCCAAAGTAGCTCTGCCGCTCTGCACACCTACAGCGACGGCCAAGGAGGGCCTTGCTGCCCGTCCCCATTCCATTTGGTGACGTCGGGACCTCTCCTGCAGGTGTGTACCAGTGGCCGGCCCCTGTTGCGTGTGTAGTTCCCTAGGGGACATCTCCTGCCACGCTCCCTCTGTCCAGGGAGATTCCTGTTCAGGGACCGTGCCCTTTTATAAATCGAGTTATTCAATTTTTTATTGTTGAATTTTAAGAGTTCTTTGTATATTTTGGACAGCACCATTTACCAAACAGATCATTTGCAAATACCCTCTCCCAACCTGTGGGTTATCTTCTCATATTCTGGGCAGTCTCTTTGCAGAGTGCAAGTTTTTATTTTAATGAGGTCCAGCTCATCAAGTTTTTCTTTGATGCTTTGTGCCTTTGATGTGTCTAACAGTCATCCCCAGATCTGAGGTCCTCCAAACTTTCTTCCATGTTACCTTCAAGGAGTTTTAGAGTTGCACGTTGTACATTTCGGTCCATGATTCATTTCGAGTTATTTTTGGGCTAAGGACAAGAAGTTTGCCCCCAGCCTGAGCAGTTGATTGTCAGTTGATCGACTCTGCGTGCGGGGTCCCACTGTGGAAGAGACAGCCCTTGCTGCACCGTCTTTGTGCCCTCCACGCGTCTCTGGCTGTGCTGGCCCCGGGTCTGCTGCTCTCCTTCCTGATGCCGCCTGTCCTGGACTCCACAGCGAGTCCCGAGCTCCCGGGGTGCCCTTGACTGCATTCTCCTCAGGAGAGTGAAGGTCTCCTCCCTCAGGAGAGTGAAGGTCTCCTCCCTCAGAGGACTCCCAGCTGGCCTGGACTCTCGCAGCTGCGTCCAAAACCCCGATGTCTAGGAAATGTTTGAAGGATCACGTGGAACAAGTGGGTGAGGCTGAGCAGAACAGAGCTCCTACCCGGGACGCTGCTTGCTGACCTTCGTTGGCGCCTTGCTGTTCTGTTTCCAGCGGCAGAGGCAGGGTGGCTCCATTCCCCATGGATCGGGCGTGGAGGCCGTCAGGAGTGGGCACCACGGGGCCAGGCTTCGGGCTTGAACCCACTCACCCCTTGCCATGTGACGCCCCTCGGGGTGTCAGCTGTCTGTGTATAAAGCGGGGTGCGTGGCACCCGGGCACAGCACGGGTCCACAGGGAACACACACCTCCCGGGCAGAGTGCTTCCAGCTTCACAAGGGATCCCAGTCACTTCAGTGCCCAGCCTACACTGAGTCCCTGGAAATGCAAGAATTAGGCATCATTCACATCACCTGCTAAACCCACACTCCCTGGCCGCACTGTCACTTAGGGGTCCCCAGTCCCTGCAGAGAAGAGAGTGACCCCAGAGCCACCCAGGACTTCAGAAGGAAGACAAGAAGCAGCATCCCTCCGCAGGGCCCACTGGCTGTCCTGTGTCACCCAGACCTCGGGCCCGGACCTCACTGAGGTCTGGGAGCCCAGGAGCCCCATTTCTGAGCCTCAGGCTCTGCACAGGGAGGGGAAGACTTAGAGCTGCACCCGGCCTTTCTCAGAGCTGAGGACCCCAGTCAAGGCAGGGCCTCGTGGCCCTGTCTGCAGGTGGGGTGGGGGCCGCATTGCCCACAGCTGGGCCTCCACCCCGGGGTGCATCGGGCTTGGGCCGTGAATTCCAGGCGATGTTCCCGCACCTGCTGCACTGGCGGCAATGGGGGGAGGTGGTTCTTCAAACCCTTCCACCTGGCTGCCTGTGAGAAAGGAGAGATGACCCTGAGTGTGAGTCATCTCCTCCGGGGCATAGCTTAGAGGGAGAGGAGGGCCACACTAGCTGGGCATGGCAGCACATGCCCGAAATCCCACCACTTGGGAGGCTGAGACAGGCAGATTGCTGTGAGTTTGAGGCTGCCCTGGGCTACATAGTGTGGCGTTCATAGTGAACTTCACAGTTAGACCCTGTCTCAAAACACCAAAACAAACAAACAAAGGGAAGCCTCATCATATCAAAATTAACATCAGTGTTCTCAAATATGCATCAACTTTCATGAAATGTAAATTCCAAGATGGAGTACGCCCGTGAGCCTCTTCATGTGTACAAACCCCGGGTCTTGGGTACTTCCTGAGCCTGCTATGCTATGAGCGCAGAAGTGGGAGCAGCTCAGGGCCCGCAGCCGGTGCCGAGGGCACCAGGTCCAGCCAGCTGGGCTCTGGCCTCCGCTCCGCAGCGCCGTGTTCCCCGTGGTGCCCTCACAGCATGGCACGGAGCCACGGTCTGGGCTCGGGGGCAGCTCCACCGCCTCAGGGTCAGGTGCAGACCCCATGCAGCACACGGGTGCCCTGTCCCGGGCTGCTCATCACCCGCCACTCGCACCCGGCTTCGTGGATGAGGGCGGTGCATGCAGCGATGTCATGCACTCAGCCAGTCCTCCTCCCTGAGGACAAGAGGTCACCCGAAGGGACACAGGTGGGACTGGACCCGTGGGTGCTCCAAGCCACATGACTTGCTTCAGCAGTGAGAACTGAAATCTGCAGGCTGGCCGGAGGAGATGGGGTCAATTTCTCTCTGAAAGGTGTTTGAGAGTCCCCGGGCAGGTTGCAGGGACAGAGCCTGGTCTGCAATGTCACAAACACCGCATGGCTTGGTCTCTCCCGCTGTCGGTCCCTCCTCTTGGGTGCTCTGAGCCCCTTGCCGTGAGGCGGGAAGATGCTACAGCTAAGCCCTGGGTCGGGCCCGTCGTGACTGCCACCACGAGGAGTAGCTGCGACACCAGGAGAAATGCCTCACTCTCCTTCGCTGTTGCACCATAGGAATCAAAGACATGGAAGAGATGAATTAGCATTCAACAGCAAGGGTCGAGCACACAAACACCCTGGAGCCCAGGGACGGGGCTGGACACAGGGGACTCCCGTTACCCACCGTGGAAGACAAGGCGCTGGTGAACACAAGCCAGGCAGAGTGGGGTTCATAGCCACAACCTTGGGGAGAACCCTGGGGCAGCGGGAGGCACGGCTGGGGGAGGTGGCTGCCAGGCTCTCGGCCCTAGAGCATTCAGACGTTTAACGCTGAGCAGTAATCTCGGGAGCATTTAAGAGGTTCAAAACAAGCCCTAAAGTGTATAATCTCAGAGTACGGCTTGATAAAAGACTTACGAGGCAGAGGTACGTGTGCTGTCGCCTCTGTGCACTCCTGTTGGAGAACATCTTTAAGGACAGACAGGCGGACCTCCATGTGTGGAAGCAGAAGAGCCCTCAGGGAGACCCGGGCCCCGGGAGCATGGGGTTCCCAGGCAGGAAACCTGGCTGTGGGTCACTGTCTGGGTGAAACAGCAGCTTTCTCGCCTCTTAGGACTTTTGGAACTTGCTAGCCTGCACCGTGCTAAGATAGTTCCTTACGTGTTAAAATACAGAATAGAAATAAAAATATCAGATGCCCCAGTAATAAATTCATACATGTAAAGCTAGCATAAAAGCACGCTCGAATCTCCTGGGCAAGGCTGAGCCAATTTGACCGTCACTGCCTCTTCAGGGGAAGTGGGGAAGAAAATGGGAGGCGGGTGTCTCCAGGCCGACGACTCTGTGACAGATGGTTCGGAGGGCCCATGTTTCCATGTTAACAGCCGAAATTGGAAAATTACAAAAGCATTCAGCCAGGCAAAGTCAGGAGATATTTACTGGATGCCTACTAGGGCAGAGGCTAGGGGCGGCCTCTGTGGGAAAGGATGGCCCTCGGTACAGTGCACACGTGAGGTCCTAGGTTTGATCCCCGGCACCTCTGCCAAACATCTCAGCCTTCCTTGTTGAAAACGGAAAGAAGCATTTGAAGCAGTGACAGCAATCGTGGGGGGCCCGGGGAAGCCCCCGGTGCGTCTCAGGATGTGAAAGAAGCAGCAGCTGTGGCGGGAAGGAGGTCTGGGGCCTCTCTGGATCCCTCAGGCTTCCCCTTCCGGTTCCATTTCCTGTGTTCCCTGAGGGGTGAGCTTAGACCCACTTGGCTCCAGTAGGAGTTGCCCCAGACTGGATGAATGAATGAACGGGAGCACAGGGGAAAGGCTGATCTTTCAGTGGTCTGCATTTAAAAGCAAACAGGATTTAGGTGACTTGGCCTTGTGCTGTGTCTGCAAACTCACCTGCCGCACAGCGACGAGGGCGCAGGTTGTTGGCAAATAAAATCTCGGGGCTCCTTACAGGTGCAGTCGAACTGCAAAGTGTTCAACAGATTCAAAAAATTAAACGATCTCATTAGCACCAGGGCTGGTGGACACGTGGGTCACCGACTCTTCCTGGCCAGGAGATGAAAGCCCTCAGCAGCCCTTGCACAGCGGCCGGCACGGGCGTCCTCTCTGTCCCTGCCCGTGGACAGTCACGCCCACCACACTCGCAGGCAAGCGCCGGGCGTGTGATGTGTCCCCCTGCTATGTTAAAAATGCATTCCTATTTTTTCAAGCATGCCTCGATTAAAGAGGGCACATCTGTTTTAAGTGCCCTTTATGAAAATTACTAAGCTTCCTCGGCACGCTTATCTTTTAATTTCGAAATTCTTTGTAGCAATAACTCGAGATAATAACCAACCGTATTTCTGGCCCCTTTAAAAAAATAAAGGGTGGGGAGGAAAAAGAAAGAAGGCATGAGCCATTTTGCAGCTTTGAACTCCCTTTTCTAATCCTCCCGCTTCGGGCTTGGGTGGAAAGGGCCCCTTCATTTGCGTTTAGAAGGGCTGAGGCCTCCTGGATTAGTTAGCTACAAGCCCAGCTTGAGGCTGGGACTATTCATCAACCAGCCCGGCAGGGGGGCGCCCTCCTCGGCCCCCTGCTCCGTGGAGACTTCGGCTTCCTTTCAAGTGGTCCCTGCCGCCCCGCCCTCTTCTGCCCAGCTCCCCACCCTGCCGTCCATCCGGGGCGGCTCCAGGATCACGCACCACGCCAGGCCCTGCTTGGTACCCAGCCTCCTGCTGCAGCCTCACCTCTGTTCTGAATATCACACAGCAGGGACAGGGTGTTATTTCCCATCTGCCTTTCTGCTTGTCAACTCTTGTCAGGTTGTTCTCGGGCCTCGTGTGGATGGAGCAGAGAGAAAATCCTGAGGTTCCTCCTCCCCAGTTCTGTCCCAGTGTCCTCCTGCTGTCAATGGTACGGGCGATGCAGGGCGGCGTGGGGTGGCATGGGGCGGAGGTGTCTGAACCTGAGATCTGGGGGCTCTCAGGGATTCGCGGAGGCCGCCGTCCCCAGCTGACCCCGTGTGGCTTCGGACTTGAGATCCTCAGCAAGAGGCCCGGCACAGACTCAGCCTCCCCAGAAAATGTGGCTGAAGACATTTCCACAGCTCTGCCGGCCCCAGGGAAGGGCCCCTCCGCGGCGAGCTGTCTCCGTGCTCCTCGGTGTGTTTCCTCCGGGGAAGGACCAGGAAAGAGGCGACGGGAGCGGGTGCTCCTTCCTGTTCAACTGTGCAGGAACATCCAGAACCAGCGGTTTGCTGCAAGGTTCAGGTCTGCACCACAGACGTGGAGTCTTAATCCATTGCCACAGACGCCGGTGGGCACGGATCCCAATTGGCGGAATTCCATGGAGTTCGGTTTTTCCCTTCCTCAGCACCACACCGGGGCCCCTGCACCCTTCTCCGGGGGACAGGGGAGGAGGCGTTGCTCCTGGCTCCCTGGCAGCTCTGGTCCTCGTCGAGTCTGAGCCCCTTGGTGCAGGCCCGGAGCATCCAGGCACAGCACGTCGGCTCCTGGAAAGTAGAATCACGGATATTGAATGTATTACGATGAACTAAATTAAAAAACCTTGCCTCCCTCAACAGACACTTATTATGCTCCTGCTGTGTACAAGAAGCCTCAGCCCGGACATCCCAGAGAAGTGGTGACCAAGAGAGGCCACCTCCCACGATTTGGAGCCAACTCCACCGTGTATAAAGATTGTAAAAACAGAAAGCACACACCTCAAAGTATTACTTAATACCCGTCAAGGAGTCACAGGAGCCTTTCTTCAGACAGTAATGGAGTATTCTTAATGTTGGAAAATAACCCTAAACACCATGCTACGGTTTAGATATAAACTGTCCTCCAGGGCTTCACACACTCACAGCTGTGAGGAGGTGGGGCTTGGCTGGAGGAGGCGGGGCCTGGTTGGAAGAGGTGGTCCTGGGGCGGGGCCTGGAAGGGTTTCCTCCCTCCTGGCTCCTCCTTTCTCTCTCTGCTTCCGGTGCACCATGCGGTGAGCTCCTCTCTCCCCTCTGCAGGCCCCTCCACCATGCCAGCTGACCTTACAAGGGCCGAGACTACTGAAACATGAGCCAAACCTTTCCTCTGCAGAGCTGCAGGTGTCGTGTCCCAGCAACCAGAAAATATCAAGGCACAAGGCAAGCAAAGTTTCTGTAGCAGGGAGTGCACAGGAGCTGCTGGCAGGAGGGCAGAGCCTCCCACCCGTCCTTGGAGGCGGCCCTGAAGGGTGAGCAGCTCTTGAATCCAACCCCAAAGAGCACCTAGTCCAGAGGTCCTCTCCAGATGGACGAACACTTCTCACCTGGCATCTGTGCATGTCTTGCACCAAAATTCTTTGCCGGGTCCTGTTCTGTGCTCTGCAGACATCTCTGTGCATTGTCAGCATCTCTGGCCTTCACTTGCCAGATGTCCATGGATCTCTCCCAGGTCATGGCCACCAGCAGTGTCTCCAGACATTGCCTGTTGTCCCCTGGGAAGAAAACTGGGGGCATGAAAGACCCGGGGGGTAAACAAAGGCAAGGAACGGGCCCAGCACAGATGCCTGCCTCTCCCACTGACAAGCAGGCCTCGGACACAGCTGCTCTGGACCCCAGGGCATGTCCCCCTCTCTGAGGGTGGACCGTGCACTGCCTAGGGCACCATGTACTCGGGGCTGAAGAGAAGAGAGGAAGCAGGCTCCTGAGTAGACGCCAGAAGACTCGGCTCCACTGCTCTGGAGGGCGACGTGTCACTGGGCACCTCCTCCCTGGAAGGACGGGTTACTGCTCTGTCCACGGTGTTCCAGCCCAGTGCACAGCAAGATGCACACACGTGTGGACCGGGCTCTGTCAGTGTCCATGCGGTGGGGAGCTCCCGGGTGGGGACACCGGCTGGCTGGAAGTCAGGGGCTTTCCGGGTGCCAGGAAACCACCCGTCTGGAAGCCGGTGTGGTGAGGCAGACACATGCAGGAGTGAAATTCTCAGGCACAGGACATGGCTGGACGCCCTTGATGACTGTTACCTGGTCCTGTGAGGGGCCGCTATGCAGAGCTCCAGGCTCCCCACTTTGTGGGGGTCAGCCGACCTGGCCTCTGTGCAGGAGTCCTGAGGGAGGAGCCTCAGGGAAAAGGCGTCAAGGTGGGGACAGCACCCACCCAGCCACCAGCTCCTCTCCCTGGTGCTGCTGAGACAGGGGCCAAGGAGAAGGGTCAGCAGCTCACTCCCCTACCCAAGAGAGAGCAGCTCTTGGCTCCATGGGCGCTGGCTAGCACTTTAGGGCAAGGTGGCCAGAGGACGGACAGACAGGGACGGGGCGGGCAGACAGGCTGCTGCCAAGAGAGCTCGCTGCAAGTCCCCCCCATGTCTGTGTTTGGAAATCTTTGTAACAAAACATCAGGGGAGTCGGGCCCTCTCTTTCTGTTTCTGCAGACCAGAACACCGTGGGAGTCATTGGGCTCCAAGGTGCTGTGACTGTTTGGACCCATTATCATTCACGGTGCTGTTCACAGTGACACTCCCTGTAGGGGACAGGGGAAGGGGACGTTACCAGAACCTCTGCAGTTAGTCCTGGTCTCCTGCGAGCCACGGCAGCACACGGCGAATTACAGGAAAGGTAGAAAAATGAGACTGAGAAGAAGCTGAGCTTTGGGTCTAATCAGTGCTCCTCTGGGCGCCAAAGACGAAAGCCCCCAGCTTACCACACCTTTTATTCAGTACATCGGGAGAAACAAATGTAACAAATGACTTGCAGAGAGTTCAACAGTTCACATTGGGATAAACAAGGTGTAACGGAAGGCTTGCAGAGAGTTCAGTACATCTC